GCGTTGTATGAAGCCAGGTCGAGTCGTCGTCTTAGGTGGCAACCGAACCTCCACCGGAGATTCTTAGCACCCCCTGCTCAGCCGTTACCATACTCGCCACCGTAGCCAGGAATAGTGGGGCCTCCGAATCATTACTTAAACAAAATGTAAATGCGTCTACAAAGAATTTATTATTTCATAAATTAATATCAAAAGATATTGTAAAATATTTTAAAACATTTATGTTAAGAAAACTGCGGATCTGTGGGGGATTTCCGTTAAAGATATTGCGTCTATAATAAATACAGTCGCGCCTCATTTAGCTATTATTTTTATACTAATATTGAATCTGGTGTGTTTCCTGATTTAATGAAGCATAGTAAAGTAATACCTTTATTTAAATCTGGTAGTACATTAGACCCCGCCAATTTTAGACCTATTTCTGTACTACCAATTTTTGAATAAAATATTTTTGTTTAAATTTTAAAATTCTTTAATATAAATAATTTACTTCATAAAAATCAATTTGGTTTCACAAGGGGTCTCTCGACAACTGATGCCGGTGTTGAGCTGATTAAATATATTTTTAATGCATGAGAGAATTCACAGGATGGCTTGGGTATATTTTGTGTCCTATCCAAGCTCTTCGATTGTGTTCACCATGAAACATTAATCAGGAAACTTCAATACCACGGTGTAAGAAGTGGTGTTCTTAAATTAATTATTTTATATTTAAGTAAGAAAACGCAAAAAGTTGGCATTAACAGTATGAGCTCTTTCGGGTCGATGGTACAAATGGGCGTGCCTCAAAGCTCAATTCTCGGCCCCTTTCTGTTTCTTGTGTACATTAATGACTTACCTTACATAGTAGGGGTAACCATGATGTAGTATTATTTGCAGATGACACTTCTTTAGTTTTCAAATTAAGTCGACAATTACTAAAATAAGGCGAAGTAAATAATGGTACATATAAATTAGTAAATTGGTTCAAAGTTAATAATTTGCATTTAAATGGCACTAAAACGAAATGTATGAAATTCATGACTCTAAATGTCAAACAATTAAATTCTAATGTAATTTTATTTAATGAGGAGAAACTGAGTCTTGTAGATAACACCATTTTTCTTGGAATCACAACAGACGCGAATTTTTAATGGAGCCCCCATATATCAAATCTAGCAAGCAGACTTAGTTCTGTAGCATATGCTGTAAAAAAGATTAAAAATCTTACCAGTGTTGGAACAGCTAGACTAGTTTACGTTTAGCTATTTCCATAGCATAATGTCGTATGATATTTTACTATGGGGACACGCAGCTGACACTGAAATTATATTTTTTTACAGAAGAGGGCTATAAGAGCAATTTATGATATAAAGCCTTAAGATTCGCTGCGACAAAAATTGAGGGAAATTAATATATTAACTTTGGCCTCTCAATACATTTATGAAAATGTAATGTACGTACACAAAAATAAAAGCAGTTTTACAAAAATAAGTGATATTCATTCTGTAAATACTAGGAACAGACACAAGCTAGCAGTACCAGTTACTCGACTCCATCGAGTCAGTAATTCATTCTTGGGGCGATGTACACGCTTTTACAACAAAATTCCAGAATATATACAAAGTTTGACTTGCTCAAAGTTCAAAAACTTTATTAAACGAAATTGGTATAAAAACGGTTATTGTAATATTGAAGAATTTATGGATGATAATAACCCCTGGAAATGAGGTGATCGCTACCAAGCTATTTCTAATTTTTTGTGTTGTTAATTTGTGTAACATACATGATTGTAAGATGTTATTTTAAGAAAAAAGTCCTGCTGGGTTTCTTGCTGGTTCTTTCCAGGACAGAGGTTATTTTTTTCGAACCGATGGTAATTAAACAAAAGAGTGACTTTCAATAAGTATTATTTATAATCTCTATTGAATAAAAAAATTTCTGTTTCTGTTTCTGCTATTGTGAGTTAAGAAAACCGGAAACCCTATCAACTGAAAACAAGGCATTCCTTTTTAGTTCACGAGGGGTCAAGGCATCTGTATTTTGATCCTTAATTGCAGATAAATATAGATTTCTATATGTAATATCTGTGTAGTATCGGACAGTATGCTTGAGGCTCATTATTATGCTTTCAGTCGATAGTCCGGTCCGGAACTCGAACTGCGCATCATGTAAGTCTGAGTAATTTTGTAAGCACGAGTCAAGCAGACTATCCAAAATTTTAGCTATCGTAGTAGCGAGGGAGACTGAATGATAGTTTCCCTTTTCCGAGATATCTCACTTCCCGTGCTTCACTATAGTTACAACAGTAGTTTTCATTGGATCAGCTGGTAAGCATGAGTGGCTGATGCACATATTGAAAAACAGGGACAGGACCCTCGGTAAATGCTCCCCCGCATATCTTAGGTGCTCGATACTAAGCCCGTTTTATTATATATTTTCAACGAGCGCTTAGCCTCCAAGCAACCACTGTTCTTACCTTAATATTAAGATCAATGGTAGTAAAGACCATCTTACAATTACTATTATTAAAAGAATATTCTTTTTTTTATAGAATAAGGATGACATGGTAAGTGAATGCTGTGGCCCATTGACATCTACATGTATCCTCGATTGAGAATCAAAATGCAGATGCGTTGTCATCCCTGAGGACTAAGAAGTAATGCCTCTTTTCTAGTAAAGAGGGTAACGGATCTCTACAGTCACCATGCGAAACACAACAGTATTAAGCTGCTATTTTACGTTGATTCTTCCGAATCTGGTCTTCTTTGATTTTTATTAGCGAAAGAAACAATATTGCCTAAGGTCAGTGACGTCTGGTACGTCATCGTTAATCCGCCTGCCATACTTGAATATTAAGGCAAATCCTGCTTACAAGCCCGCAGTTATATCTAATTTAATTTTATGACAAAAGACATATATTAATTTTCAAATTAAATTAATGCTTATAGTTCAAGGAAGAGTATGTCATGAGAGTTGAACTGCGTTTAAAGTTCTCAAACTTGATATAATTTTGTCAAAGTCTGCTCAACTTTAACTAACTTTATAAAAAGTCATGTTTGATACCGTTACCTTATGTCAACTTGGAGAAAATAATATCATATTATGAAGCCGTGAAAAAAGTTTATATTCGTCGATTTAACTGAAACTTTTTATTCAATATAGATCATAATTAATATTTATTGAAAATCACTCTTATGTTTAATTTATCAATGGTTCGGAATATACCTCTGTTGTTATGGGAAGAACCAGCAAGAAACACAGCGGGATTTTTTTTTAAAACAGAATAGTTTACATTTATTAAAATTGCACAAACAATTAACAACACAAAACAAATTTGAAATAGCAAGGTAGCGATCATTTCATTTCGGCGGGTTATTATCATCTATAATAATCCTTTTTATACAATCTCTGTTTAATAAAAAAGTTAAACTTGGCGGAAGTCAGATTTTGTATATTTTCTGGGATTTTGTTGTTAAAGCATATATATTGCCTTAAGAGTAAATTACTGACTCTGTGGTGTCGATACAAATGTAATATTTAATAAGAGTAAAGTAACTTCCTATGGTTGAACACAAGCATTTCATCTCATTTCGGATAGGGTTTCGTATTTTTGGTATAAAACAGAAGTGAAGCTTACAATCCACCTGATGATACACTTACCATACTTAGCCACTGCTACTACAGCCCATGAACACCAGCAAACTATTTCAAACAAACAAGATTACAGATACGTTGTCACCTCTGAGGACTAAGGTTGTACGTTAGCCTATAAATGTACTGTCATTTTGACACTACAACCGGAACACTACAGTGCACGTAATTCTGCTTGGGAATAGAAACGGGTGAGAGTAGAGATTCTAAAAGCTAGAGTATCGATATTGGAGAGTAAGTCAGAAACCAAGCCTGCCCAAACCCATCCAATTGAGGGCATCGTAATGCAGCTGCAGGCTGATATCGCGGAAAGAGACCAAACTTTACTCTCTAACGACCTAGAGATAGCTGGCTGTCCAGAAATACCTAATGAAAACTGCACCCATATTATTCTGACGGTCGATAAGAAAATTGGTATCGAGTTGGACGATAAAGACGTCGTATCAGCAGATTTCGTCCGGAGAAACAGAACAGCACAACACCGCGCCGAAGACCTATCGCCCTGCGTCTCGCACACCGTGATACACGGAACGGCCTGCTTCAAGCTGCGCGCTCCAGACGTCATCTCAACAGCGATGGCCTCGAATTTCTTGGATCCACCAACCGGTTATATCTTAATGAACGCTTGACAAGACTGAATCGTCAACTTTTTCAAAAAGCACGCTCCCTTACCCGCGAAGTGCAATTCAAATATGTATAGGTACGGGAGGGAAAGATATTTGTGCGCAAGAAACAAGGGAAACCGCGGATTCGGATAAGAAATGAAATGGACTATCAAAGGTTTTTAACCATAATGACATCTGATATCTTTCCATCTCATACACACCAACTAACTATTTTTATGTGTTTTGGTATCGTGCAAAGAATGTATTTAATCGTTTTTTTTTTTAAATTTACTTCCTGAAATCTGTAATTGACACTATTTCTACACAAAAAAACTAGCACATCAATCACACTTTCTAAAACACCGTACACAACCCACTTATTCATGACAAGTTTTCTATTAATTTAAATACTTATTATTATACCAAGTTATTATTTCCCATATGGTTATTATTAAAAATAAATATCTAAGAATAGGTCTATTAAACACCAGATCTCTGAATGCTGGGCAGGATGAATTTCTTGTGGCTGTCCGTAATCACACTCCTGATATATTAGCTATAAATGAAACATGGTTAAAAGATGGAGAAGGTGAATTTGCGCCTATAATACCAAATTATAAGTTTGTGCATAGAGCTAGGCAACAAAAAAACGGAGGAGGTGTAGGCTTCTATATTAAGCAGGAAATAAATACTAAAGTACGGCAACACCCAGCGTCGTCTCTAGAGCAGATGTGAATACAAATTCAACTCCCGGGAGCTTCAATGGCCCTTGGCACGGCCTACAGACCTAACAGTTTTGGTGTTACAGAAATACTGGACGCTCTGAGTGACTTCGTGAATTCAATAGCGCAATGCGATTACACTTGCAAACCTGGCGATTTTAACGTAGATATGGCTGACAAACATTGCAATAGAGCTAAAGATATAATGCAATTCTGCTATCAACATAACCTAGAACAACTCGTCAAAGAACCAACGAGAGTCACTGATCGGGCTGATACTATTTTAGATCTCGTCCTTACTAACACTCCATCAAGATGCAAAAACATTAAAGTTATACACAATCGTTGTCTTGGTGATCATGCATTGGTGCTGTTAGATATGGACATAAGAAAACCAAAATTTTATAAACAAATAAAACAACAGAGATTACTAAGAAATATTAATTCTGATGCTTTCGCACGAGATCTGAAACTTATACCCTGGGACTCTATTTATAATCTAGAGAACGTAGATGAAATGGTTCAAACTTTCAACGCATATATGAGTCAATTATTTGATGCTCATGCACCTGTCCGTACGCTGACGCTAAGGGATAAACCAAAGCCATGGATTACAGATATGTTGCTATTCATGTTGAGTTTACGTGAAGATGCGTTAGAAAAAGCCCAGAAGGATAAAAAAGATTGCTTAAATGAATACAATCGAAGTCAAACACACGTTTCGTTTGAAATTAAATTATACCATTGTTCGACTCTGTGCCTGTAAGTTATGAAAAACAAAGTACACTGAAATTGCTACTTTGAAAGTTTTTCATCCGCGAAGTTTGATCTAAGTTCCCTTTGTCGAGAAGGATTGCATCTCAATTGCTGCAGAAATTTCTGACTTTATCACTTACTATCATATTTCTTGGCGGCGATTTACTTTTATTGGGTTTCTAAGGAAAACTTTTAACTTCGCTTTGTTTGTCTGATCTAATGTGTTATAATATCATTTATAAATGATATAGTTCTCATTTTTAAGGTAATTATAAAATACATTTCGTGTAAGCAATTTTCGTTCGTGACAGATGATGCATTTTTTATTTCGTAAACCATATCCACCAGTAAACGATTCATTAAATGATGAATTTTGTTATTACGACTCATATTAATTAAGTTTCCTAGCTACAAAATAGCATGCAATTACATCAACTTTATAAATTGTTGCTATACTACTATTTTTATAGCATTTTTTTATTTTGTGCTAAGTTTACTATTTTATTTTTGTTTAAATTATATTAAAATTTATCTGCATTGTTTTAGTTTTTCTTTCTTTATCTGGTTCATGGTATTACCGGACGGTTCCAAGAAAATATCAACGCAGGTTGCTAACAACTAGAACAAGCTGTGACGACAAACATTAATGTAAAACGTCATGCAACACCCACATTACACACTACACTCATGAACACACACATTGTATGCCTTTAACGTAAGGTTACGTAATTGTTGGATAATAAATATAAACATGCCGTGTAGTGGCGGTCAATGCCGTGTAGTGGCGGTCAAGAATATCCACTACCCCATATCCTCCCGTGGGTGTCGTAAAAGGCGACAAAGGGAAACAGGCAGGAGATGGGCAGCAGCATCTTCCTGATAATAGCCAAAATTATAAAAAAAACTGCGGTTGCCAACCCGCTCGCCAAGCGTGGCAACTATGGCAAATACCTCCCAAATGGAAGCTGGAAGAAGAGATAGACAAGCTACGCTGGCATATTATAGGATTATCCGAAGTCCGAAGAGAGGGGGAGGACACGGTAATCCTCGAATCCGGCAACTTGCTCTATCACCGGGAGGGCGACCATCTGTCCCAAGGAGGTGTCGGATTTATCTTGTTAACAACGTTGTAAAGATCGGGAGTGTGTCGACGAGGGTTGCATACCTTATACTCAGAATCACCAAACGGTATTCGCTGAAGGTCATACAGGTTTACGCACCTACCTCGGCACACCCCGATGAGGAGGTGGAGGAAATGTATGAGGATATCTCTAGAGCCATGCATTCCTCCAAAACCCAATATACGGTTTTTTTTTTATAGGATAATGGTGACAAACGAGCACACAGTCCACCTGATGGTAAGTGGTTGCTGCGGCCCATAGACATCTACATCTATCCTCTGTTACAAATCAAAATGTAGATGCGTTGTCACCCGTGAGGACTAAGATGGAATGCCTCATTTCCAGTAAAAAGGGCCTCCGGCCACCTGCACTCACCAAGCGAAACGCAGAGGTAAACCTCTACTTCACGCTGGTATTCTGTGAGGTCGTAGTACTACCCCGGTTCGAGCCGGCCCATCCGTGCGACAGCAAAAGCTGCTGCGTGGCTCTACCACTGTTAAAACTGTTAATGGGAGTGTTAATGGGAGACTTCAATGCAAAACTAGGCACAAGAGAGAACGGTGAGCTAAAAGCAGGGAAATTTGGAATAGGGCAACGGAACCCAAGGGGCCAGCAGCTGGCCGACTTCATGGAGAAAGAGGGACTCTTTATGATTAACTCTTTTTTTCCAGAAGCGGCCCCACAGGAAGTGGACCTGGTCGAGCCCGGACGGTTCGACAAAAAATGAGATTGACTTCATTATGATGACCAGACGACAACTGTTCAGTGACGTCTCCGTGATCGCGAGGGTGAAAACTGGTAGCGATCACCGAATGGTTAGAGGCACACTGAACCTAAACGTTAACTTGGAGAGGTCTCGTCTAATGAAGTCAACGCTCCGTCCCCCTCGTGCTCGGTTCCAAAGTCCTGAAACCTTTCAGCTCGAGTTACAAAACCGTTTTTAGTGGCTAGAAGACTGCAATGAAGTGGACGATATGAATGACAAGCTCGTGGAAACTGTCCATGCGGTCGGAGCTAAGTTCTACAAGACCCGCCGCAGAAGAACACAAAAACTCTCCGATCACACTCTTAATCTCATGGCTGTTAGACGGGAGATGAAGCTACATTCTTCAACAGACTTGACAGCATACAGGCATCTGAACAGACAGATCTCCAAATGCATGCGGCGGGACTTATGCAACTTCAATACAGCTCGTATTGAAAAAGCGATCGAGCGGAACCAAGGCTCCGAAGTCTTTGCCAGAGATCTGTCTGCCAGAAAGAGCCAACTGTCAAAGCTGAAGACCGAATGTGGCAGCATCGTTTTCGGAACACCTGAGATTTTGAGCGAGATTGAGAGGTTCTATGGGCAGCTGTACACGTCACCGTTGGAGCCACACGCAAGTGTGAGTAACGATCCAAGAGCGAGTCTCATCCGACACTATTCCGAAGATATCCCGGACGTCAGTCTGAGCGAGATTAAAATGGCTCTCCAGCACCTTAAAAACGGTAAGGCCCCAGGCGAGGATGGAATTACAGCGGAGCTTCTGAAAGCGGGTGGAAGACCGGTACTTGAAGTCCTTCAGAATCTCTTTAATTCCGTTCTCCATGGTGGCATTACACCGGAGGCGTGGAGCAGAAGTGCGGTGGTCTTGTTCTTCAAGAAAGGTGACCACGCTCTCTTGAAGAACTACAGACCGATTTCCCTTCTGAGCCACGTCTACGTGGCGTGCTGTTTTCGAGAGTCATTACGAATCGTCTCGCGCGCAGACTTGACGACTTCCAGCCTCCCGAACAAGCCGGTTTCTGAAAGGGCTTTAGCACCATAGACCACATACATACCCTTCGGCAAATTGTACAGAAGTCCGAGGAGTACAATTTGCCACTATGTCTGGCGTATGTGGACTATGAGAAAGCCTTTGATTCCGTCGAAATTTGGGCGGTGCTGCAGTCCCTTCAGCGATGCCAAGTTAACTGTCGGTATATCGAAGTGTTGAAGTGCTTGTACAGTAGGGCTACGATGGCTATCCGAGTACAGAACCAGAGTACAAAACCTATCCAATTGCAGAGAGGTGTAAGACAGGGTGACGTCATATCCCCGAAACTCTTCACCGCTGCATTGGATGAAGTTTTCAAGCTTCTGGACTGGAAAGGATACGGTATCAACATCAATGGCGAATACATCACTCACCTTCGATTTGCCGACGATATAGTCCTTATGGCAGAATCGCTGGAGGGCCTAAGCACTATGCTCAATGACCTCAATAGTGTTTCCCAACGGATAGATCTTAAGATGAACATAGACAAAACAAAGATCATGTTTAATGTCCATGTCACACCTATGCCGGTAGTTGTAGGGAGCTTTAAGCTCGAAGTTGTTGACGAGTATGTTTACCTGGGACAAATAGTCCGACTAGGTAAGTGCAACTTCGACCGAGAGGTCAATCGACGTATTCAACTCGGCTGGGCAGCGTTCGGGAAGCTACGACACATCTTCTCGTCAGACATACCTCAAAACCTTAAAACGAAATTGTGCAACCAGTGCGTGTTGCCAGTGATGACTTACGGATCTGAGACGTGGTCCTTCACTGCTGGCCGTTTGAGAAGCTCAAGGTCGCTCAGCGAGCTATAGAGAGGGCTATGCTCGGAGTTTCTCTGCGTGATAAACTTAGGAATGAGGATATCCGCAGTAGAACCAGAATAACCGACATAGCCCAACGGATTAGTAAGCTGAAGTGGCAGTGGGCCGGCCATATTGCTCGAAGAACCGACAACCGATGGGGAAGAAAGGTTCTCGAGTGGCAGCCTCGTACCGGTAGGCGAAGTGTAGGGCGTCCCCCCACGAGATGGAGTGACGACCTGGTAAGACATGCAGGAAGTCGATGGATGCAGGTGGCTCAGGACCGTGCTTTGTGGCATTCTTTGGGGGAGGCCTATGTTCAGCAGTGGACTTGTGAAGGGCTGTAATGATGATGATGATGACCAAATCAGCCACTATAATTATGCTGGCTCAGTCCATTCCTCTGTCTATCCTTGGTATGCTGATATTTGCTTTGTTAACGTTACCGAAGCGTAGTTATATAAACTTGAGGAAATTCAAAAATTTTGCTTACGATTCATATTAGGGCTCCTTAAATATTGATTATATTTCAGAATTTCTACGTATCGACTGGCTACGATTCACCTTCGCATATTAACATCCGTTCTCATTTATGGAATAGAATAGAATTATTTTTAGTCACTACAGATTACAAGAATACTTATTGAAAGATAAGAAAGTATTTTACCGCCGGTTTAATAAAACCTCTGTCCAGGGAAGAACCACCAAGAGACCCAGCGGGACTTTTTTTACTATATAATATACTGTTTAATCGCTCATACTTTCCGTTACTGGAAATACCGCTTTGAGTTTTTTACTCCTCTCTTAATCATCATCTTCGTTCCACTGACATTGTTTCTCTTCGTAATCCAGTTTATACATCGTCTTTCTTCAAAAAAGTATTTTCAAAATTTTCACTTCAAATTACAATAGAGGAGGCCCACGTCCAGTAGCCAACTTTAATGGGTTGATATTTTGAAACAAGTGTAGTCAAATGGGAATACGATTCATTAAGGTAGTGATCACATAGCTTAATCACTTGATTAAGCTATGTGATCACTGCCGCTAATGGAGAATTAAAACAACATTAAAAATAATTTTGCGGCCTTTTAGAAAGGAGTAGGCTTGGATTTTGAAGGTCTCTTCGTCATAATATTTATAGTAATTTTATAGCACTTTTTTGTTTTCTTAGTTTTGTATCTTGTTGATGTAATTGCTAAGTATGCGGGGTTTACCTACTTTTACATGTGCATTTAGTTTGTAATATTATTGTTTGAGAATTTAGCATTATTATTATTGTAACATTTGTTG